TTTTATATCATATCATATCATATCATATTATATTATATTATATTATATTGTATTGTATTATATTACATTATATTATGTTATAATATACTATTTTTATTTGATATTATATTATATCATATCATATTCTGTCATACTATATCATTTTTATGTTATATTATATCATATTATATTATTTTAAGTTATGTTATATTATACTATATGATTTGTTCTTATATTCGATCATATTCTATTATCTGGCATTATATTATATTACATCACATTCTATTGTATTATATTTTGTTACAGGCTATTTTATTGTATTATATTATAGTATACTATATTATATTACATTACATTATATTACATTATATTACATTATATTACATTATATTACATTATATTACATTATATTACATTATATTAATCAGGCTTGAATGTTGGCTCAGGCTGGAGACTCGCGGCTGCAGCTTGAAGTTTGTCCTCCATGACGATGCCGTGGACAAGGCTCTGCACTTTTTTTCGGGACCTTGAGCGAAGATAGCTTCAGCCCCTGGCGCAGAAGAAGCTCATCCAGATCGTGCTTGGACCTCGCATATATCGTCACAGAGCGATGAGCCTTGATTTGTCAGTGAGTCGTCGCATGCAGTGAATATGCCGAGTTCTGGTTACTTGGCGCGGGAGCCTTTCCCACCAGCTGGACTTTCTGCACAGAAGTTCCGCGCCCAGGGGTCACAGAACGGTTGCCACAGATGCCACCGACGAAAACTCTGATTCAGGCCGGCAGCATCGGCAGCACACAGCCGGACGCTCGTTCTTTTCCCTTTTGCGGTTTCGGGGGACGACCGTGCAACGTGAAGGCCCGCAGATGCCTGCATCACCAACAGCAAGCCGAGCTCCTTCGCCACCAGCATCTTCCTGCAAGCCCTGCACTCCTCGCGCTCCTGTCCGGCCCTCAGGAGACAGAGACAGGGAACCCGCAACAAGCAGGCGAGTAAGCACGAGAGACACGTAACAGCCAGCTCTCGCCTTCCTCACTTGAAGTCTCTCTTGAGGCCAAGAAGAGCAAGGCAAAAAGTGGCTTCTCCTGGGCAGCCTTCTGGCTTGGGGCCACCAGGCGGTCGTCGCACACTGAGTGTCTGCCGAGTTCTTTTTCTCCTTTGTCGTATAATTCGTCCCTTGCCCTTCAAAGCAGCCCAGGCCTGGGCCGGAGCCGGGCGGTGGCGCAAAGGCCGAAGCGAAGGCCAAAGCCAAGGCCGAGCCGAAGAAACCCAAGGCGAAGCGCAAGGCCAAGGCCAAGCGCGAGGCCAAGGCCCAACCTCTGCTCTCGCCGCCCCCACGCAACCGAAGCCAGAGCCAGCGCTGGGCCCAGCATCGGCGCCTCCACACATCTCCTGGGCTTTGCTGTTGGGGAGCTCTTCTCTCTAAGGTGCAGCTCCTCGCAGAAGAGGCCCCTGATACGCCCTTGGCATTTGTCGGCCGCTTGCTTGGGCCAGGAGTCGAAGCGAGGCTGCTCCGGGCACGAAGAAGCAGGCAAAGGCGGCGCCCTTGAAAAGAGAGCCGCCCCTCGGCCCCGTTTTTGGAGCGGGAGTGTTTTTTTTGTCGTTGGGCGCGCACCACGTGGCTTGGAATGACGTGAGCAGAAGGCCCGTGGAATTGCCCTCGTCTTCCAGCTCCAGCTCGAGCTCAGAGCCGGCGCCCTTCACCTTTTCGGGGATCCCTCCATCTAGCCGTATTGTATACTACGAGTCGGCCTCTTTGATCCTCAGATCCTCGGAGAGCTCGAAGAGCTCGGAGACTTCGGAGAGCTCGCAGCTTCCGAAGGCCAAGGCGAAGGCTCCGTTGCTTGGCACGCCATTTAGGAAGGATACCCTTCCGCGATTTGCGTTGCAGCCGGCACTTCCTACGGCGAAGAAGCCACCAGCCGAAGGTCCGCGATGCACGGGGCCGAGATTGATGTAGCCGCGTATGTGGGTGTATGGCACCTCGCCGTATCTCAGTAGGTCGTCGCCCTCGCAAGACGGCTGCCGAAAGAGAAGCCCTAGCGAAGCTCGAGGAGCACGGGTCAGACACATCCATCTTCAAGGCCTACAAGGCTTAAGGCTTTTCTACGAGCAGGAGCTCCGCGCAAAGCTCGAGGCGCAATGGCGAGTCGTTCCACAAGTCTTGGTCTGCCATGTATACTGATATTCATATTGATATTCAGACGAATACTAATACTAATACAGTCGCTGTAGAAACTGCACATCGGAGGCCCTGCGCGAGGCGCGGAGGGAGGCAGACTACCCACAGGCGGCACGTGGCTGAAGAACGCGCAGTAGCTCACTACGCTCTCCACTTCGGGGTGTGCTTCGAAGTTGCCAGGCTGCTCCCGTTCTGAAGGAGTTGGGTGCGCTGGACGAGCAGGGCAGGACCACTGTGCTCGCAAGCTTTCCTTGACCATGTTGAGCCATCTGCAGATCGCAGGATCAACTGGAAGCAGCTCCAACAGAGCAGGCTGCCTCTTGAGCACTTCTTCTTGATGAAAATCATATTTCCTGCTGCGTAGAGGCTCTTTACCGAGCTGAACCGGGTATTTTGGCGCCAACAGGCCAACCGAAGAATAGAAGCCTCCCCGCAGGACCTCCCGTCCTTTCAGGTGCACGGTGCAAGTTTTGGTCTCGCCGGGGCTTTGTTGGCCAAGCCGTGGGCTCAGAAGTCGTTAGTCGCAGGGGTCCCAGCAGGACGATCTGCAATGAGGTGGGTTCGCCGGCGCGAGGATGCTCTCAAAAACGGCTGAGATGGCTGAGAAGCAATGAACTCCCACGAATTCTCGAGTGCTTGGCGGAAGTTGCGGCTGCAACTCCGACAACGCCGCTTGCATGTGCGCATGCGCACTCTCAAAGAGAGGCGCTGCATGCGACCGATGAGCAGAACATACCCTGCATTTTCGACAAGCTACTGTAGATCTTTCCTGGTCGCCAGATGCAAGATGATTCGTGCACACCGTCACCCGGCAGGTGCATGCTGGTGGGGGGCTTTCTGGGGAATTGCAAGACCCTTGCGAGGTTCCCCTGAAACCTAAGCGGGCGGGGAAACCTTGGAGCACTCCCTGGGAGTGCCCGAGAGATAGAGTCGACTGGGGCGACGCCGAAAAATCGTGGAGAAGTCCTTCCGCTGGAACTCGTCGTGTAAAGTTCCTGTGCCTTCCGAGCAAGACGAAGCCTGGACAGGCGACCCTCCAATCCTGGGACGGCAGATCGCTAGGGGACCGATGCAGCAGAAAAGGAAGGAATGTCGTGCTTGGGCTTGTGCGATGTGATATTGCCAGTCTTACTTAGCAAAGTGTCTCTTGCCATGTTCGGGCCTGTTCTAACCTGCTCACGCAGACGTCGTTGCCTCAAAGATGAAGCATGAAGGCGCATGTGCAGAGGGAGGAAGGGAGCTCTTCGATGGCAGCTTCTCCAACTGACCTATTGCTTCCTTGTCCATGCTGAGCAGTGCACCACGTCTACTGCCAGCGTGCCGGGGGGGACGGTTGTGACGATTGATTGCCAGCGATCCGTCGTCACCATCACGTGCTACCATGCAGAGGCAATTCCAGACTGTCACCGTGTGGAGATGTTCAAGACTACTTCCACCGTTTCCAGCACCGTTTCGTCGACTTCCATTTCGCAAAGCTCCACCACCAGAAGCTCGACAGTGTCAAGCTCGTCTACTATCACACACACGGATACGTCAACGGTTTCAACCATCACAGCAACCACTTCGACCAGCATAAGCTTGACGATATCATCGTCTTCCACATTGTCCCAGACCGCTACCTTGATGCCAAGCACCACATCCTGCACGCTGAGCTCCACCCGAACTTCGACAGAGCAGCGTCTCACCACCACTGCCACGACCACCACAGCCACCAGCACTACATCCGCAAGTCCAAGCCGGCTAGGCACATCAACCAGGACGGCTACATCAATGCCCACCAGCACCAGTCGAACAACACAAACAGTAACGGCGACAAGGACAAGAACAGGGGTCGGCACGGTTGCCTACCTTTCAGGATACCTGATCATGATGGCATCCGGGGTGTCCCGACATCAGGCTGAACTCGCAGTTGCTGCGGCGCTCGTGGACTACCTGCAGCTGGAAAGACGGGCTGCAGTGGCTGCGACGGCCCGTCGAGAGCACTCTGCTGACACGTGGAATGTGTCATTTTCGATGGAGTACCCCCGTGTCCGAGAAGAAGAACTTCTGGGGCAACTGAGGGACCTGCTTGCAAGTGTTGAGGCCAATGTCGCCTCCACATTCTCGGATCTTTTGAGGATACAGCTGGAGCACATGGGTGCAGAGCCATCGGGCCACTTGCCGCTTCGACTTGGGGTGGATGGCCTGGTTTCTGTTCCCGGACAAGAAGCCGAGCCAGCCGACTCTGTTTCCATTGTGGGGATCGCTCTGGCATGTCTGGCGGCAAGCGCGATGGGATTGATGGCCTACTTCTTCTGGCGCCGACGGACGCTCATGCCAACTCTGTTTCAACAGCTGCCGGAAGCTTTCAGATACGTCTGGCAAAAGGAGCCTTCGGGTGTAGCTTGTGACATTTGGCAACTTGAAGCTGAGAGATGGGATTTGGCAGAAAGCGTCCTTCGAGCTGCTCCTTTTCGACTAGCCCCGAGCTGGCGAGGTGTGTGGCAATGGGATGCCGACGAGAAGGGGAAGAAGGAGGAACATCGCCTCTACGTTCTCCGCTTTAGCCCAGGAGGGCAGTTCTCTGGCTTTGGCAGAGGCCGAAGCGATTTCACCGTCAGCGGAGGGGCCATGGACGGCACAAAGGGAGTGCTGAAGTGGCGGGAGCAAGACCTCAGCAATTGCATTCTTGAGTGCGCTGGTCACTGGGACCGCGGCGTCTCACTGCCAACGCGAATCGATGGCACCTTCTCTGCTTACGACGTTACAGCACTACCGAAACGCATAGGACAGGGCTGTTTCACCCTCACGGCTGACGCCGAAGGTGTCCCAGCTGCTGTAAAGGGCGAAGCGACAGCACCCGTGGCTGTTTCAGATCTAGTTTAGTACAGAGACGGAGCCTTTGTGCCTCAATGTGTGTCATGCAGGTTCTCGAAGTGACAGAGCCAGTCACGCGGAGCTGCGTTACAAGACTCCAAGTCAATCGGGCTTTGTCTTCTAAGTGCCAGTGGGCGTTCTTGGGTCTGCGCATGGTGTCCTTGAGTGGCCCTGAGGAGTTTCATTCAAGGTTCCATGAGTCGCGTCCCGCAGCACCAGCCACGATTGTGGCGCATTCTCTGCTAGACCTCGGAAGCCATGCGAAACGGATACCCGAAGCCCCCAACAGCGTCCTTAGAATGCCTTCCGGGCCCGCGCTCTGCAGTGCAGCCTCTGCTGGAGACCTCCAGCGCTGCACCGAGCTGCTGGAGGAAGGAGCGGAGGCGGCTTTGGCTTTGCTTCGGCGCACCTTTTTGGCTGCCGTTTGTGTGTCTCTTTTCTTTTTTTGGGAGAGAAAAAACGGGAGAAGAGCGGTGCTAGGAGCCTAGCACCGAAGCCCGGCTCCGATCGAAGGTGAATGAGGCCGACGTGTTCAAGCAGACTCCGCTGATCAATGCCGCCGTAGCCGGCCATGCCGCTTGGCAGTGAATCGTCCTCGAAGGTGCAGCCAGTGCTTGCAGCAGCCCATCCGTGCCACACTTGTTTCAGTGACAGGGACCTACATGAGATTAACTCGCATGAGTTCAGGCAGATTCACTGAAGGTGTGTGTGGAATGCCGGGATATTGCCCTGTCAGTGCCTGAACATACTGCTGGCATTGCGAGGGCTTCAATGGCCAAGAACTAGCTTCGGTTCCGCTTTCCTGCGAACACCACAAGTTTCAGCCAGTATTGGTACACAGTTGATTTTGAGTAGTAGTACCACCATTCATGCTGCCCCACCGCTCTTGTTAGCGATGGCAGCTGCTACTGCCTGTACTGCTGCTCTTGCTGCAGAGGCGGCTCCCGCAAACTAAGGCCTTGGCTACGAATCCCGGATGTGATGATTCTAGGGTCCCGAAACCCTAAACCCTATAAGCCCTAATTTAAACCCTAAACCCTAAACCTCATGTGAGAGCGTAAACCTCACGCCAGGTGGAGGTGGTGAAGGCCCTGGCGGCCGCACGCGCTGACCTGGCCTGCGCCGACCGCAGCGGGTGGTCGGCGTGCCTCGGAGAAGGGAGGTTTAGGGTTTAGGGTGCTCAAAAAAAGGGTTTAGGGTTCAGGGTTTAGGAGCCAAGAAGATGATATAAATCCTGCACTACCCATAATACGGAATATGCCATAAATTCCCATAGTTTAGGGTCCTTAAGGGGTTATGTAGGATTTCTATCATCAACAGTATGTGTGGGTAGTAACCCTTCCCGCGAGCCTTCAAAACTCAAGAGCCATAGAACTACAAAGATCCTGACTAACCCCCCAGCGAGTCTATTCTCTTCACTGTCCCTGGGCATTTAGATATATCCCTAAACCCTAAACCCCTTAAGCCACAAAAAAAGGGAAGCAGCCACTCGCCGTGGTCGCTTCGCTTTGTTCCGAGGTTGCACTGGGCAGCTTTCCAGGGCAGCTGTGACATGGTCCGCGTCTGCCTGGCTCTGGGTGCAGACGCCAAGCAAAAGGAAAGCTAATCCGGGGCTTCCGAACGTTAGGGTTTAGGGTTTAGCTTCGGGCGAGCTCAGTTCAAGCCTGTGGAAAAAAGGGCTCCGAAAGCTCCAGGGCTTCCGAAAGTTAGGTAGTTTTTAGGGAGACACCTAAGAAGGCTTCTCAACCGACTTGTGGCTCTCTTAAGCAGGGACCTTATTGAGAGGGTCTATAGCCCCAAGGGCCCCCCTAATCCTAACTCCTACCGAAAGTCCTCCTTCAAGACGTCATATGTGGATTAAGTGCAACTACATGCAACTACTACTTGCTGCTGTTCCCTCCGAGTCGATAAAACCCGACCTTTTCACAGCTTTCAGCATCCCAAGCATGCCACCTTGTACCCGTTGATGCTCAGCCTTTGTCGCCTGTCCCTTTGTGGGACTTTCCGAAAAAATTAGGGGTACCTCATTTTGGGGCCCTTAGAATAAGGATCCTACTATTTAGGCTATTTAGGGTGCTATGTTAGGGTCCCCTATTTTCCGAAACCCCCTTGGTCACTTTTGTCAGGACCTGAAGGGCAGCACTCCAAGGGAGGCCGCTTCCGCTACCGATTTTTCTAGAGTTCGGGGCCAGCTACGTATCGGTGAAGATGGCTTCGTTTGTGTATGTATACATATATATATATATCTCTCTCTCTCTCTCTCTCTCTGTCTCTCTCTGTGTGTGTGTGTGTATTGTACATGGTTTTATCACATGCTGTTGGCAAGTGCTGCATGGAGTTGCACCATGTATTAGGGTGTGAAGCAATTGACAAGGGCCGCCATGCATACATGCAGTTGCATGCATGCATGCCCATGCACAGGCACGTTCATGCACATTCGCATGTGCATGGGCAAACATACGCATCCATCCATCCATCCATCCATCCATCCATCCATCCATCCATCCATCCATCCATCCATCAATTCATCCATTTCTCCATTTAGCCGTCCAACCATCCATCCATCCAGCCATCCACCCATTTATCCAATTGTTCATTTATCCATTTGTGCATCTGTCCATTTGTCCATTTATCCATTTATCCATCCATCCATCCATTTATCCATCCATTTATCCATCCATCCATCCATCCATCCATCCATCCGTTCATCTATCCGAATCTATCCATCCATTTATCGATACGTACGTGTGCGCGTATATGTATATGTATGTGTGTATGTTCATGCGTGTATTGTATATATGTATATGTATACATGCACACCCGCACTCTTTCTTGATGTTTTGCGTTGCTACTTCAGTGTGCCCGCATTGCTGTGCGCTTGGTGCAGGTTGCGGCACATGGCCTGTCATTGTCATATAACTTATGTTGGGGAAAACTATTTTCCCCCAATATGTTCATTGTCATATAAATTGTTCGAGTTCTTTCTTTGTCTTTGCCATGCCGAAAAATATGCCGTTTTGGTGTAGTTGGGGATGGGGCAGGGCCAGTTTCAGCTTTGCAGTGCCGACAGCAGTTGTCGAAGCTTTCGAAAAGTCGGCTATGTCCGGATCCCAGCATGGGCCGCATGGGGCTTTCGGTTCCCCACGGCCCCTTCAAGTTCCGATGGAGTTGAAACGGTGTCTGGACAGCCGGACTACTCCCAAGATCAAAAGAACCAATCTTAAGCCATGGCTTATCTTTGCCCGGTCTTAGCCCGTGCCCAAACCCTCGAAGCCAGTTGGACCCTTCCCACAGGTGGCTGACCACGTTTTGCAGGGCCAGGGCGAGGCCAAGTTTGGCGAGGGCCTGCAGGGAGATCGAGGCACCTGAAGCCCTGAAACCCCAAGGAGCGTTTAGGGTTTCGGATCAGGGTTTAGGGTTGACAGGTCTTCGCCTAGAAACGTTGCCGGAGGATGGGGCATGCATCGCAGGAAGTGGTCCAGCTGTGTTGAGTTCAGTGGGTTGTGGGACTGGCATACATCGATTTTGGGCGGCGCTGGCGTTTTCTAACCAAATCTGCCTGGCAGGATCGGGTTAAAGTCGTTTGTTAAAGATGCGAACGTGAATCTGAAGCACCCAACCTGTCAGCCAGGATTGGGGTAAAGTCTACTCTGGAAAAAAGCGATTGGGATAGCGTCGTTGGGCGGTGCTGACGTTGTCTTGGACCTTGGAGACAGAGCAAAACTGTCAGGCAGGATTAGGGTAAAGTCGCTGTTGGATGGTGCCGACCAAGTCTTGGAGGGTGGTGCTGACGTCTTGGAGGAAGCAACCTCACGAGAGCAAACCTGTCAGGAAGGATTGGGGTAAAGTCGCTGTTGTGTGGTGCTGATGTTGCCTTGGAGAGAGCAAACCTGTCAGGAAGGATTGGGGTGAAGCCGCTGTTGGGTGGTGCTGATGTTGCCTAGGAGAGAGCA